TGTCCTCTTCGGCCCGTCGAATATTGTTACAAGATGTCGCACGAATTTCCAAATGAGGAAAATATTATTTGAATGGACCATCGAGAATTTCAGTTTATGCTACTTAAACATACTAAAGTCTTCTACATTCCCAGAAGGGGTCAATAAAGAAATAACATGGTGCCTGGAAATGCATGGCTTGTGCAGGGACTACCTGTCACTTACTCTCATTCTCGTTTCGTGTAGGGCGTCACAAGTTGTAAACGCTAAGTACAAATTTTCAATTCTCAATGCCAAAAAAGAAGAAAAGGAAATAACAGAAAGTGATGATATACTATCGTATACTCACAACGGAAAAAGCCACTGTTGTAAACAGTTCGTCAGAAGAGACTTTCTTCTGGACGAGGTCAACGGGCTGCTGCCAGACGACAAACTTACGATATTCTGTGAGATCAGCGTATTTGATTATGTAAGATCCAGTTACGATCCAGTAACAATACCGTTTAAACCCGATAATGTCGGGTTACTGCTTTTCGAAAATCCAGAATTTTCCGACATAACGGTTCGTGTCGATGGAAGAGAGATCCAGGCGCACAAAGCAATTCTTGATGTACAAAGTGACTACTTCTCGAGAATGTTAAAAAGCGAAATGTCGGAAACACAAAACAATTACGTGACAATTGAAGACATAGATTATGAAACCGTTAGAGAAATGTTGCGATTTATTTACACCGGTAAAGTGGAGAATTCCGAGAATCTGGGCAAAATCACGGACCTGTTAGTGGCAACGGACAAGTATGAGTTAACGAAGCTAAAAGTAATGTGCGAGAAAATACTTTGCACACGGTTAACCGTTGAGAACGCAGCAGAGATCCTCATACTTGCCGATTTCTATAGGGCCGATTATCTGAAGGCAGAGGCGCTAGACATCATTAAATCGTAAGTTAATGTCGCGAAAGAGAACGGTGCCAGATGGAGGATCGTGCATGTTATCAGCATGTGGAGGAAATGCGCTGGCAATTGCATTAATGCACACAAAGCGAAGACCATGTCCATGTATTATACTTCGCTTTGTGTACGTTGCCAGCACATCCTTTACATATACTGTTAGCATGCTGCACGGTCTGCCGTCTAGCATCACTAGAGAGAAGTGTGCTTGCAACGTTGCAACGCACACGGTACGCGTCAGTTCATCGACTAAAAGATAAAAATTTGCTCTTCCAACGATCAAAATTATATTTTTTGGCTGTGCGGGTGATCCCGATGGAACTTACGATCTCTAATCCGTGCTTTTGCAGATATCTGACGGATGTAACCGATACCAAGGGCTATAAATCCATGGAGAATTCTCACCCGCACCTGGTATCGGAAGTTGTACAATCTCTGGCGAAACATAAGTGAAACGACGCTGAAAGCAGTCACCGCGCGCTCACCCCAGGTACGACCTTTACATCGCTTCCACCATTTTTGCATTCTTCTTGAACCTTTGTGTACAGTGAAATAATGATGTATAGTAATGCCAAATAAGTGCAGAGAAGCAATTTGTTGCAGAGATGGATGAAGTTATGAACTTGGCACCGAGTTGGAGCGCATTGGCGTTAATCGCCAAGTTCTGCGAATTTAATCAATAATCTTCCGCACTTTCACGTTTCCTGGATGCGTTCGATTATTTTGCAATTAAAACAGACACCGTCCATTCCCTAGATTTTGAGAATATAAGTTATGGTAAATAAACGAAAAAAAATACAATAAAAAAAATGATGTACGTTGTGAACACGACGATATTAACTAAATTCATAAATGTTCTATTAAATAAGAAATTAATAATATTATTATTTATTATATTGACGATTTACGAATGTACTTTAATATTATTATTATATACAATGCATTATTAATTTAGTATTATTATATTATTAAATTATTATATTATTATATAATTAAATTTAATACTGACAATAAAAAAATAGGTACATTATGAAGTACATGAGTGATATATGTATATGTATATTTGCGAGACGTGCGTGCGTGCGTGCTGATAGGCATCCACCGGCTCTTGCGTTTAATCCACCGATCTTCCACCGGCAATCCACCACTTTATACTTTTTTCAGAACGAGAGATGCGGATTTATATGCGTCGCAGATTATAATAAGCAAGCCGACGTACGAGCACTATTGTCTGCAGTTCGTAACTTGTGGGGAAGATATTATTTTTATACCTAAGAGGTACTTCAAATTATGGTCTTTCAAATTTATTATTCTCTAACATGTTACATTTCCTCAGCTTAATTCAAACGGAAAAACTTACAAAAATCGGGATAGAGTAAGCCATGCTATATTAATTAATATATAACCCTATGTTTTTTAGTTTTTATATCTATTTTATAAGCATATTATTTCCCATTTCAGATGATAGATTTTTTTTTGACAATTTGGATTTTTGTTTGATTTAAGTATTGTTTTAAACGCTGGAGCAATTAATAAATCTAGAAATTTGGTTGAAAATTATCGTTAAACATGTTGGAATACGAAAATCTTCCTTGAAATCCTTCAGGAAGATGGACTAGTTATTACAGCTAATAGTCCAGTCGGCACGTCGTTAAAAATGATAAAATAATCGACTAATTTGGACAAAGCTGGAAAAAATTTTAATCGCTTTGTTTGGGATTCAGTAATGACATACTAATTGTAAGTTTCCGACCTCCCCCGTGGTGTGCTTCGGTCGCCATCTTGGAAGAAAGGGGTGAAAAATCGGTTTTTCGCGAATATCTCGGTTTTCATTAGACTTAGACTAAAATAGTTTAATACAATATTGTAGGGAATTAAATTCTCTACAAAAAAGGAAGTATAGGTTTTTTTCCTACGACCAATAATTTTGGCGCTAGAGCCGGGAGGAGTAGGATACTTTTTGTAACAAACGGTTTTAGCGACTCTATCTCGCCGTATCTCACTTCTCAGGTAAATGGCGTTGTTATTGTGCTAATGAACCGTTGTCGTTTCACACATCTGGCTTTGTATTATTTACTCGACAGTGCTATAAGTACACTCAAGCATTCAAGATTTTAAATAAATTAAAAGATATAGTTATAACGATTATCTCACTGTTTACAATAAAACATTGTTAAATTATTATGTTATGCAAATTAATTCTAAATGTGAATTCTAAATATTCTAATAAATAGTGAATTCTAATAAATGTACGATCTATAGCGTGCCCCAAACTTTTGACTGGGAATGTATCGGAGAAAGAGGTCTAGCGAGGGGACGCACACAACGGCTTTCTCATACGTCCTTCGGTGACTGGGCTCAGATCAAAATTTAGTATAGCATTGGCTTTGGTCGACGCTGCATGTGTTTTTCGTGTTCCTGTACTAAAATAAAATTATGAATTTAGAGCAGTGTTTTATTTGTGAGGAGACGTTATCCCGCGGTTGATGTCAAAGAGAGAGGGATTAAAACTCATCGAGAGCAGTAGAGAAAGAGATTAAAACTCATCAAAAGACAATAAACAATTATTCCTAAAGGGATTAAACTGTGTAACTGTGCACGTCAAGTGCCAAAAATCTTATATGAATAAAAAACTCATAATTGCATCACTGAGAGCCAAGGAGAAAGATGTTCCTAGTGTAATCGGCTCCCGAAGATCGAGCATTCCATCTTTTGACTTCAAGACGACGTGTCTGTTCTGCGCGGAAGATGCATCAGAAGAATTTATAAAAAAACAAACGAAGAAGAATGTTGCAAGGCGCGATACTGTGCACGTGACAGGACGATGCAAGTTAAAGAGAATATTTTGGAAACTGCACAGAAAAGAAGAGATACGTGGGGCGAAACTGTAAGTATGCGCATCTTAAACGTAATGGATTTAGTTGCAGCCCAAAGTCGATACCACGGTTCATGTATGCGAAAATTTTTTCATTCTTTGAAAACGTACGAGGTTTTTGGACGTCCCGAAACCAAATATGCAAAAACAGCTATTGACTTTATTTCTTCGTTTCTCGAAGAACATCGCGATGAATGCCAGTTTTCATTAACTGAAATTTTAAAAGAGTATAAAGATATTGACCAAGAGAGAGGGAACGAACGAGCGACGAGAAGTGGAGCGAGCCAAGAAAGCGACCACATATCTTATATTTGTTTTGCCCTTCCATAAAACACTCCTGAACGGATTTAAGGAGCCACAATCCACATCGCCGAGGACAGTTAATTATCCTGATATTTTACCTCCTTAACTTCAGAAGAAGAACCCATCAACGAAGGCGCGTTCTGGCGGATCGAGTAACTTCGCATCACCAGGACGTCACAAGTTAAAAATTTTTGGCGAAGATATTGATCTTTTAGTGTTACTGACTTTAGCTTCATCTAAATCTAACATCTATTTTATGAAACCGAGCAAGGAAAAAACAGAGTAGAAGATTTATTCCTTCCAATATCCTGATATTGCTGAGCAGATTCTCTTTCTTCACGCATTCACTGGTTGTGATACCACTTCAACATTTTTCAGGCAGGGTAAAATAAAATTTATTAAACTATTCCAAAAAGATGAAAATTTACAGAATATTTTAAAAATTTTTGGAGATCTGTATGCTCATCCAGATTTTATTGACATAGCAGGACAAAAATGTATTCTCGCTTTATACGGAGCAAAGAGCAAATAGTTTTCTGGATGAGTTTCGATTTTCATGCTTCGCCAAATCTACGTCGAAAGTAATGTTCAACATTGCTTCTATACTACCTACTGAAGCAGCGTCACGTCAACACTCCCTCAGAATCTACCATCAGATTCAGTAGTGGCGCGGAGTTAAAAAAAATCCTCAAGATTGGGGCTGAAAATATACAAAAAATGGTTTATTTCCAGTTCCTTCAATGAAGGAAGCCGCTCCGCAGGATATTCTGAAGATGATCTTCTGCAAATGCACAAAAGACTGCAGAGCAAATCGTTGTTGCAGAAAAGCTGGATTGCGATGCTCTGTGACTTGTTTCAACTGTCGAGGTCAAACATGCACAAACATCGACATTATAATAGATCACTGTGACTACAATGAAGAAATCGACGTAACTGTTCAACATTTTGAGAAGACATTGACCGATCCTGACAATGAGATTGATTCGAACAACGAGGAAGAATCAGAAGAAGCAAAGAAGGAAGATAATATTGAGGAAAAGGAAGATGCTGCGGAAGATGACATTTGCCAACTCTCTACATCAAAAAGACCAAGATTTGAATAATTAATTTTTGTACTTCTCTGGCTGCTGCAAACCTTGAGGTGAGTTCTCTCCTTTCTCTTTCTGTTTTAACGATTAACTAAATATGTTTTTCTTTTTCACAGTGGAAATGTCCACTATAACCGTGCGTACCAGCTCGCTTGTCATGACATCTCCTCAAGAAGAGAAGTTTCTGCCTCGAGCTCTGCAGGAATAAAATTTTCTTATCTCAATAAATGGTGAAGATGATGGCTCGCGAAAGAAGAGCCGAAACCATCACATCTAAATACACGGTTTTTTTCTAATAAACTGTGAGTGGATTAGGCCTACAGGGGACACCACATAAAAAAAACGCGCCACTAACTCTACCGCAAGGTGGTGAGGAAACGAGTTCAAAAGTACATTACAGCCTCTGAAAAGTGAGGTACGGGGAGATAAAGTCGCTGAAACCATTTGTTATAAAAAGTATCCTACTTTTCCCGGCTCTAGCGCCAAAACTATTGGTCGTAGGAAAAAAACCTATACTTCTTTTTTTGTAGAGAATTTAATTTCCTACAATATTGTATTAAACTATTTTTAGCCTAAGTCGAATGGAAACCGAGATATTCGTAAAAAACCGATTTTTTATCCCTTTTTTCCAAGATGGCGGCCGAAGCACACCACGAGAGAGGTCGGAAACTTAGTATGTCATTACTGACACCCAAACAAAGCGATTAAAATTTTTTCCAGCTTTGTCCGAATTAGTCGATTTTCAAATGTACTTGCCGACTGGACTATAAGTAAGTATAATATATATTTACCTTTGCTGTCGTATTTCATGTAAGAATGTATAATCTTATTATTTACTGGAAAATGTTCGTAGGGGTCTTGGTATAAAAATTATTTTTGCGAATGTGATAAAAGCTTACTCGGATCCGGGCAATTTAGTTATCGTTCTGGGAACCACCAATCATGATAAGAATTACATTAATGGTCTGCTTAAAAATTATGGAACAAGTAGGCTACCGCGTATAGTGAATGCTGAATATCTCTCTAATGAAAGGTATAAAAAGAAAATACATTCGCATTTTACATATGCATTTAATAAAATCTTACCATCAAACGCAGGTAAGTAATGTACTTGGAGGGTGGAGACCTGTTTATATCAGGTCGCATTTTGGTGGTAGATCTGTTAAACAACAGAGTTTCGTTGCACTTAGTCACTGGTATTCTCGTCTTATAGAGCTCACAATATTTTGAATGCTTATCAAGAAGCATTTACTTAGAAGAACACAAAAATATGTACCAATTGGATTTTATTTTTTAAAAGTATAGTTGCACAACAATTATTTTTCAAAGCAATATATAATTTGTAATTGGCGTAATTTAAAAATTTTACTTTTTTTTAAATACATGTTACTTGGGTTAAGTTAAGTAGCATAATTTTGTAATATAATAATTTTGTTAAGTTTATATATAACATTAACATAATTATTTTTTAAATCACCTTTAACTGCAATAATTAAATTATTTATATTCAACCAATTAATAATTTTTAAAATAAATAATTTACCTGAAACTAATTATTTATTATTGAAAAAATTAATAATTATTTTCCACTAATTATTAATTTTCAAATAAG